GTGGGCGTACACACGCAGTATGGTTTTCTTTATATATCAAGTCTAAACCACACCTGCGTCCGCCCGCTTTCGCGTGCATTCACGCAGCTCTCTCTCCCTCTCTCTCTCTCTAGCTAACTAATTAACAATCGAGGCAGATTGTGAAAGGGAAATCTCGCTATTAGAGCGGTTTTTCCCGCGGCAAATGCAGAGTCGCAGACGCCAGACAATTCAGCCTCAAAGCTGCAGCGGTGTCATAGCTGTGCACGTCTAGTTAATAGCTAGCTGCTCGCCTAGCCTCGATATCATANCACACACACACATCCTACCTATCCTTCATCAGCTGGTACAGATTCTCCTTCATGTATTCGAAGACGAAATACAGCTGATCGTTCTCCCGTATCACCTCCTTTAGCTTGACGACGTTTGCATGACTCAGCTTCTTCAGCGACTGCGAAACAACGGAGCAGGAGTTTTATGCTAGTCTTTTGCAGCACGTAAATACGTGATAACATAATTTATATCTTGTGTTTAAAGTTTGCAAGGTAGCTTCTCCAACTATTAGTATTATATCTTGTGTTTAACGTTTGCATAGTAGCTCTCCAATGATTATATATTGTGTGTTAATTTTGTATGGCAACTTCTCCAATGATTATATATTGTGTTTTAAGTTTGTATTGTAACTTCTCCAGATAATCATCTTGTGTATTAAGCACGAGGCTTTTTAATTGGAGAAGTTACCATACAAACTTAAAACACAATATATAATCATTGCTAACAAATCGGCAGGCCCGCTGCACTCAAACCACCCACGGGAACCCAATACAAACACAGGGACCACATGGGCTTCCATCGAATTTTGTCAAAATCTTTATCGAATTTTGTCGAAATTCCATCAAATTTTGTCAAAATGTTGTTAAATTCAATCAATTTTGTAGCGACCACACGGACTACGGCAGCATGGAAGCCGTGAGCGCACGCACACGCTCTCATTACGGCTGGAATGCGACCGCATTGATTGCG